CACCCCGCCCCCAGCCCCGCAGGCCCGCAGCAGCACGCCCCCCACCCCACCTACGCGACCAGGTTGAAGCAGTCCTTGTTGGCCAGCTGCTCCTCCAGCAGCAGCCGCAGCGAGTGCTGGATATGAATAATGTACATGGAATTGGTCACGGAGACGTCGAGCAGTACAGCCACCCTAGAGAGAAACACAAGCCTCAGGAGAACCGAATCTCTCAGATAGTGTTCATTTTGTTCCATCTTACTATTTAACGTTTTTTCCAGGGAGATTTTGCATGCTGAATTCATTGCTGGCAAAATCTCCGCGGCTCGAGGCCAGACGGGCACCGTCTCTCCATGCAGGTTTAACGGAATAAAGTCTCGCGGCCGGTGGTGTCAGCGGCTGGGGCTGCATCTCTATACATTTCTCCATTTTAAAGAGCAGGCATCAGAGTTCGCACTGGGCAGGGTGCTCGTAGGGAGAGCCCCAAGAAGGCGTGGGGCGAGGTGCGCCGGGGGCATCTGGGCCTCCGGGCCCGTCTTCGGGCTTGCGCTACTCTCGGATCTCCAGCTCTGCGCCGCCTTCCTGGCCTTCCACTATCATTTCTGTTCCTCCTGCGTCTCATTTGAGACAGTTATGGGTAATAAAAGAATGCACGGGCCTTCGAGTCAGAAGGCCCTGGTCCAAGTCTCATTCTCTACCAGCTGCGAGGCTTCAGGAGGTCACAAACCCTCTCTAATCTTTGGTGTAGAACTGAACTAGAATGTCTCCTCCTAAGGCTGCTTGAGAATTAAATCATATAACAGATGTATAACTTTGTAAATGGTAACAGAGTATGGAATATTAATTATGGAGATAGAGAGAGAGAGAGAGAGAGAGAGAGAGAGAGAGAGAGAGAGAGAGTCCTGCTCTTGCAGTTCAGGCTGCCTTGAACTCACTTTGTAGCCCAGGCCGCCTTGAACTCACAAATGAGTTACCTCCTGCCTCAGCCTCCCGCGTGCGGGGATTAGAGGGGGCACCACCACGCCTGGCAGGTGCGGCTATATCTGGATGTATATCATCTCCCCTGTGCAGTATCCCCCTCCTGTTCTGGAAACTGCGTCCTTCTTTGGCTTTGGGAACACTCTACTTCTGTCAGCGCACTCGAGGTGGGTGAAGACGGTCTCCAAGCTTCATCCTCCTTGGCCAGGGTGGGTGGCACCCAAGCGCTAGGCATGCTAAGCTGGTGGCCGCAAATCTAGAGCTTGGGACAGCTGTCTGCTCACCTGGAGGGAAAGCCTTCCCACAGACAAAGGCTTTAGGCTTTAAGGGAGATTCAGTGGGGCTGAGAGAGATGTGAGACCCAGTGAAACCTCCAGATCTAGCCACGCCCGAAGACAGTGGTCACACCTGTTCTAGAATTATCTGCTGCCTTAGATTTTTCTGCCTTGCTTAAGCCAAGCTTCAGTTTCCCTTGCTTTTTCTTCCCCCGATATTGAGAACTGAACCCATGACCTCATGTTTGCTAGGAAGGCAGCACCCTGCTGCTGAACTCCGCTACTGAGCTGCATCTCAACCCAGTCACTCTTGCCTTTGTCTGTTTTTTTTTTTTTTTTTTTTTTTTTGAGACAGAGTCTCACTACTATACTAGCTCAGGCTGGCCTTGAATTCACTATGTAGCCCAGGCTGGCCTCCAACTCGCAATAATCCCCTTGCCTCAGTCCCCCACCCCCCTTGTGCTGGGATTACAGGTATACGCTACTATATCCAGCTCTCTTGCTTTTAAACTATCAAAAAAAAAAAAAAATCTTGAGGGACACAGTGATGCTAACTGTGAGCTGGGCGATGGCAGTGTTGACCTCCTCCTCCAGGTGCTGCTGACAGAGTGCTCGTCCCTTATGGCTGCTGAAGGCTGAAGCTATGCACAGCCACAGGCTGGAGGAGTGACGTGCCATACTCAACCCACAAAGGACAGGGTTGCTGGGGGAAGGTACCTCTTTTCACACACGGTGCCCCAGATCCTCCTGCTGCCCAGGGAGAGCCACTGGAGCCTCCTCTCATACACCCGCAGGGCTCTGCTGAGCCGTTTCTGCAAAACCAGGAGCCGTGAGGACTGCGTGAAGGTGGACGGGTAAGAGGCCCCGGGAGGGCGGGGAGGGCGTCCTACACACCAGCTGGCATCTAGAAACAGGGTGTCGAGCCTCGGGGTACCCAGGCTGTGTAAATAATCTACTAAGTCATGGGACAGGCTCCCACAGGGTGAGGAAGTGCAATGTCACATGTGCCCCTGGGAGGAAGTAGTTCTTGACCCTTGAGATTGCAGACTCTTTGGGGCAGGTTCCCCCCGACCGACCAGGGACTGAACTCAGGCTCTTGTGCTGGCCAGGGAAGCACTCATTCTGCTGAGCCATCTCCCCGGCCTTTGGGGCAGGTCTTGTAGGGGCCCGCACACAGCCTCTGTCCCCCTCCCCGAGTGTGGCTTGGGCCACAGGCCTGTGCTACCGCACCCTGCAGGGCTCCACATACCCTGACTGGACTCGTCTCTGACCTGGTACTCGTAGAGGAAGGGCGGGTCCACGTGGACATTCTTCACCGTCCCGTCGTGCCATTCAAATTGCACCATGGCCTTCTGCGCCCCGGTGGGCAGGCATGGGAGCAGGTGAAGGAAGAGAGGCCACATGGGCAGGAGTTGCAAGCCGGGTATGGGATGCTAAGTGACCAGCGTGGGGCAGGAGCGCAGGCCCCGCGCCATCTGGGCCGGGGGACTCCATCCACCCACACGCGCTACCAACCCACTGATCAGCCCCTGAATGCTCAGAAGGGCGCCAGGGCCACAGGATGGGCCCCGCCTGCCAGCAGCCGGCTGCTCCTTGGAGGAGCTCTGAGCTATTATGCAGGGCGGGCAGGCAGGTTGCACCAGACAGGGTCATAGACCCTGAAACGCAGCAGCATGGCCTCTCAGGTCTGGGGACAGCCAGCCTCATGGACCCCACCCCAGCCATCTGTTCCCCAGTTCCTCATCCTGCACCAGGCGAGCCTCGAGTCTGCCTGCCTGTTCAACTGGCCTGCATTCTTGTGCCTGCCCTAGAGCAGTGAGCTCCTCCCCCTCCTCTCTCCCTGCAGCTTCCCTGCCACCAATCTGTGCACTTAGCCTTCTGCCTCCACTTCTCCACCCTTCTGCCTTTGCCTCTGGCTGTATCTGTTCCCCCCACTGTCTTCCTCTCCCACTTCCAGCTGTTTACCTCCCTGCCAGCAGCTCTCTGCCCCTCCACTCCCACCCACCACCATCTCCATGCTCTCCCCACCCACCATTCTCCTCCTCCTCCTTTCCCTCCTTCCTTCCTCTACTCCCCTGCCCAGCCATCAATGGAGTTCCCTTAACTGCACACTGTGACAGAGTTGGACAGGAGTTCACACGGGGGACCCACCACAGCAAGTCTGCACACTGGGGTCGGGGGAGAAAACCACCCCGGAGCAGGTGACTGCGGCCCCTCATTCCTGCTGTCTTCCCCTTTCTGAGCTTCATTTTCGGTATTTGAAGGTATGCGAAAGTTATGAGTGACAGGATGCTCTATCGAATTACCTCATGGATAGTGGATGATACTGTTTTCTGGAGAATAGGTACGAACCCTTCCACAGGGGAGAATGCACTGGGTGCCAGAACCTGATAGAGGCTTAATTTTTTGGCTGAAAAAAAAATAGTGGAGTTTGAGGTGGTGCCAGGAAACCCTCGAGGCAGGGGCCAAGCCCTCCATCACCTGCGTCCTGGACGCTGATCTCTTTGGAGACTTGCCTTTGAGCCCGTTGATCTTTAGCCATTCTGTAGAAGTCTTCTCCAGGTCTGGGAACTCAATGGTGAGAGGCGCGTCATGCTTTGGGGGCTTCGGCAGATTTGTGAATGACTCTGCTGTGTACTCTGCGGCAATCTAAGGGGAATTAGAAACTTTAAATTATGTGATCATCCTGCAGCTGGAAGTTCTTAATCCCACCTCCCACCCCCACCCCTGCCCCACTGCCCAGGCCCTTAGCGGCCTCTTAAACCTCATGCAGTGAGCGCAGGTCTGCCTTTCCCTTCCACTCACTTAAATGACTCCATTCCTCCAGGTCTGCCTTTCCCTTCCATCATCTCCTACTTCCATGGAGCTTCTGGAATTCCAGGACACAGACGCGTCCCCAGTTGCTCCTGCCTCCTCCTGCCCCTCCTGGCTGCCTCCCTGTGGCACCACGACCCCAAGATCACAGTGCCCCCTCAGGGCTGAAGGCTTCAGGATGCTAAAGATGGTTTACAAGCCAGGTCATGCAGACGTCCGGGGCTGCCTGCTCTCTCCCCAGCCACGTGTAGGAAGCGGAGAGCTGAGGCTCGGAGAGGTTGCATCACACAGCCAGTGTGCAGGTGCATAAAGAAAGGCCGGCCTCAGGCCTCCAGCAATCTGGCGACACCTACTTCCTGCATGGCGCGGGCCAGCTCCTCGCAGGGGCCGCTCTGGCGCAGCGCTTGCACGTGGCTGAGGAGGGCCTGGGCCTTCTGGATTTCTGCCAGCAGCTCGTCCACATCTGGGCTGGTGTAGAGCTGGGGGCCACGGGAACGGTCGGCCATGCAGAGGTCCCCGGTCTACCGGCCATGGCCAAGGCAAGAAAGGCAAGCAGTCGAGTCAGTCCCCAAGGCTGAGTAGCAATGTGTTTAAATAAGAAATTGCACGCTGGGATCCTTGTGCCAGGTGCAGCCTATAGAACGGCTCCTTCCGTGTCATTGTCCTGGCATGCAGCGTTTTTTAGTAACTGAAGGATTTTTCTAACTTTAAAATTGTGAAGGAAGGAATCCTAGATTGAGGGTGCACGTCTGTCACCCAAGCACTCTAGGGCTGAGGCAGGAGAGCCACAGGTGAGCCCAGCCCAGGCAACTTAATGACTTCCTATGACTCGGCCTCAAAAAAAAAAAAAAAAAAAACATCTGGGCGTGGTGCCATACACCTGTAATCTTAGCACTTAGGAGGCTGAGGCAGGAGGATCACTGCAAGTTTGAGACCAGCCTGGGCTACAAAGTGAGCTCAAGCCGGCCTGAACTGCATAGTGAGACCCTGTCTCAAAAAGATTTTTTAAGAAAGTGCCGGGCATGTAGCTAAGTACAAAGACCCAAGGTTCAACCTCCAGTGCTGAGAAACAGAGAACAAAAGAAAGAAAGGATTCCACATCTCCTAAGACAGCTGTATTTATTTTTTAATTTTATTTTTTTGGTGGAACCAGGGATTGAACTCAGGCCCTTGAGCTTGCCAGGGAAGCACTTATTCCACTGAGCCATCTCTCTGGCCCTACGGTAGCTCTAAAGATAATGATCACAAACAAAATATAACAAAGGTTGGTGAGGAATAAGAGAATTGGAGTGCCTGTTCGGGGCCGGCAGAAATGTAAGATGGCGCAGCTGCTGTGGAAACAGTTTGCAGGTTTCTCCAAACAATGAACAAATTTACCATCCGACCCAGAAATGCCACTTTGCTACACACCCCAGACACCTGAAAATGGGCTCAGATCCTGTACCCCCAGAGCAGTAGTATTTGTGAAGAGCCAAAAGGTGGAAACACCCCTCACGTCTCTGGAGGTACAGACCCTAAGCCCACCCTGCGAGGGACCGAGACTGGAGGATCCCGAGTTCATGCCTCATCTCCGCAATTTGGCGAGACCCTGTCTAAGAAAATACAAAGGAGGCTGGCAAAACAGCTCAGTGTAAAGACCTCGGATTCCAACCCAAGTCCTGGAGAAAAAGGAAGAAAAATGGGTAAGCCAAGTGGTCCATCCAGAAAATTGAATGTTGCTCTTGAAAAAAGAACAAAGTACTCAATCTGCAGCAACATGGGTGGAATTTGAAAACATCACGCTATGTAGAAGAAGCCAGACCAAAAGGCGTATGCTCCCACTCATAGGAAATACCCACACCAGGAAAATCCAGAGAGACAGGAAATAGATCGACGGGAGCTTGCCAGGGACAGGGAGTGCTGCCTTGTGGGCTCAGGGCGTGGAACGTCTTGGAACTAGAGAGAGAGTGGATGTGCAGCAGTACGGATGTACTCCCGCCTCTGAGCTGTTTAAGTGATTCACTTCCTTTTAGTCAAGTTTCACCTCAATTTTTTATTTATTTTTTGAAAGAGAATTATGCCTTTGTAGGACTGGGGAGATGGCTCAGTGGAATAAGCGCTTCCCTGGCAAGCGAAAGGGCCTGAGTTCAATCCCTTGTTCCGCAAAAAAAAAAAAAAAAAGAAAAAAGAATTATGCCTTTATTCCTTATTTTGCCAATTAGGCATCAATTTTTTTAAAAACGGGGAAAAAAATCTGTATTTCTGACTCTTTTTGAAAAGCCACAGGCCTGGTAACCCTGGGGTCCCGTTCATACAGAGCGGCAGCGGCCGGGGCCAAGCAGAGGCCACCTCTCCAGTGGGGTGGCTGTCTAGGGGTCGCGGTCCCCACCACTACCGTCCACCGTGACTGTGGCCACCCTGCACTGTTCTGCCTCTCTTAAAGAAGATGGTTCCTGAGGGGATTTGACTGACCTTGTCAGATACAGAAGTTATATTTCTTGTTATATAGGTCTTACTTTATAGTGGTCTGAACCATCTAGCAAAAAAGTATAAAAACGAGGTATAAAAAGTAAAGCCATATGCTGAGCTGTAAAAGGCTCAAGTCAATAACTTCTGACATTGCCAGTCTTACAGAAATCTCATACTATTACGCACTACTGGACTATATTGGGATATTTTGCCGAATTCACACACCTACAATATTTAAATGGCAATGGAATATCCATCTCTAACAAAACTAAATAAAAAAAGGGGGGGATACAAATGAAGGACCATTTTGTATCTGTGTATATAAAATAGGATAATGCAGTGTGTTAATTATTGAAACTGTCCTAGTGATTTGATTTGAACTGTCTCATTGCTATTTATTAATAAAATTATGAAAAAATAGGATAGATACACAGCTACTTTCTCTTAATTCAATGAGAAGAAAGATTCGTACTAATAGTGTTTGGACAGGATATCATGTCTGTAATGTCTGCATCTTGTACTACGAATAACCACTACGAAGACAATAATATGCAATGTATTAATTACTGTAACTGTCCTACTAACCTGTTTTGAAACTGTCTCATTGCTATTTGTTTCTCAATAAAATTTTAAAAGAAGATGGTGATTTTTTCTTCACCTCTGCATGGAGCGTCACACAGTCGGTAACAGACGAAGCGCCCAGCCCGGGCTGGACCTCGGCCACTGCGCTGCCCCCGGCTCCCAGGCGCGGGGATTGGCCCGCGCGGCCCGCAGCGGCTCGCTAAAGCATCCCCCACCGCCGGAACCGGGGCTTGAACTCGGGCCCTCGCGCTCGCCAGGCGAGCACCTACTTTAAGCCAACCCGTTTCGCTCTTTCACTACTTCTCCAGTCTGCGCAGCGAGGTCCTCGGGCCGGCCCGCCGGCCCTGCGCCCGCACCCCACGCTCCGCGCCCGCCGCCGCCCTGGGGCTCACCTGCGCCGCCTCGGGGCTGTAGCCGTGGTAGGATCCCCGCAGGGCTTCCGCCAGGTTCTTGAGGACGGCCTGCAAGGGGGCGCCCTGGTCTTCGCGCCTGCGCCCCACCCCCACGCGCTCCCTCCTCCCCCAACCTCCACGGCGCGCCAGCGGGGAGGCGGGTCCAGAGCGGCCTGCGCGGCCGGCCGCGTCCGCCGCCGCGCCTTGTCCAGGGGGCATCGCTTACAGAGGGCACCTGGTCCTCGCATCTGTAGGTGACCAAGTGCAGGGCGAGGCTGCGCCCCGCGGCGCGCTGCTGGATGTAGTCGGACAGCACTTCCCAGGGCTGGTCTGGGCTGGGGGGGAGGGCAGCGGACGGCGGGGTCAGCGCTGCGACAGCCCGGGACCAGCCCGGGACACCCGCTCGCTCCTGTCTTTCCTCAGAATTGCTCTGGTTTGACCTCAGGGCCCTCCCACTGAGCTAGCTCCTCACTTCCCAGTTCTTGTTATTTTTACTTGGTTAAATTGCCCAGGTTAAAAAAAAAAAGAACCAGTTCTTAAATACATTAAAAAAAAAAAAAATTGCCCAGGTGAGGGGCCAGGGAGATGGCTCCGGAGAATAAGCGCTTAGGACTCCGCCAAAAATAAATAAATAAAAAAAAATAATAAATTGCCCAGGTGAGGCTCAAATTTGGCATCTTCCTGCTTCAGCCTCCCAGAGTGCTGGGGCTGCAGTTGTGCCACACACTCACCATCCACCCATTCTTTGATACAGGCTCTCATCACATAGTTCAGGCTGGCCACGAACTCACTGTGTGGCTCCTGCTGGCCTCAAACTCACAGCGATCTTTTTGCCCCTCAGTCTCGCAAGTACTGAGAATATAGACGTGTGCCACCACATCTGGCTTCATCTAATTGTTTAAAACTCTTTTATTTATTTGGTACAGGGTCTCACTACACAGCTTGGACTCATAGTGATCCTCCTGTCTCAGCCTCCCCACGATAGGATTACAGGCATGTGCCACCACGCGGGGTGGCATGGCATGCAGTACTTGGGATCGCATCCAGGTCCGTGCGCTTGCCAGGCAGGTGCTTAGAGCACTGAGCTGTCTCCCCAGCCCCATCTACACAGTTTTCATCAACTGCCTGTTTCTCAAGCCACTTGTGTGAGACGCAGCATTGGCAAGCCAAGTTGGATGGCTCACACCTATAATCCCAGCACTTAGGAGGCCAAGTGAGGCGAGAAACTGCAAATTCAAGGCCAGCCTGGGCTACACAGTGAGCTGCACAGTGAGATCCTGCCTCAGAAACAAAACGAGAGTTGGGTGGACGGGCAGCCAGTGAATTCTGTCCTCCTGCTAAGAGCTGGTGAAGAGTCAGGCTTGGCGAACCTTTCCTCAGACAGCGCTTCCGGTCTCCAACCTTCCTCATGACATCTGGAGTGTAGGAAAGCAGACCTACCAGCTTCCCATTATGGCCACCAGGGCATTCAGCCCCTGGACAGCGAAGCTCTTCCTCAGGGCCTGTAGGAAATTGCTGCCTCCCTCAGGCTGCAGGTCCTTCACCCAGAGCTTGAGTTCCTGGAGGCTGGAGGAGACAGAGACAGCGACTTAATCAGAGCCTGCAAGGTTAACAGCTAGGTCATTTCCAGGAAACATCTCCCAGGAGTGCACCGGCACACACCTCGGCAGTGCAGCCTGCCACAGACCTGGGCTCTGTGGTGCATGTGTGAACTGTGGCATCCTAAACAGTGGTAGATTCAGTCAAGTGAGGAAACAATCGCCATGAGGCTGCTGCTGTTCACCGTTAACATTTTTCATGTGAGTGGAGGAGTCGTCTCTAGCCAAAAGACGTGTAATACGGAGGCCGAGGCTATAGCTCAGTGGTACAGCGCTTGCTGAGCATGTGTGGGGCCCTGAGTTCTGTTCCCAGCACTTAAACAATACTGTAGCAGATACATGAACCAGCAAGATAATCTATTATTGGACAGACGCAGTTGCACACAACTGCAGGCTGAGGCAGGAGGAGGATCGCAAGTTTGAGCCCAGCGGTTTAGTAAGACTGTGTCTCAAAATAGAAATTAAAAAGGGACATAGCTCATTGCAAAGGCCCTGGATTCAATTCCAACATCACTAAGAAGTACCTTCACTGCCAAATATTCCCTACTGTAGCGTGCATGCGCTCCGCCTGTAGCTGGCGGGCGGTGCAGTAGGGCTGTCTGCAGCGGCATCTCAACGGGCTTTTGAGCAGCGGGCAGTGCCACGATAGCCACAAGATCACTGCGTGGCAAGGAGTTTTCAGCACCAGTGCTCGTGGGGGACCAGATCAGATGTGTGGCCCGCTGTCCCACGAACTGCTACACAGCCACGACTGTGCGGAACTCTTTCTAGGTGTCAGGCCCAGCACAAACGTTAGCTCACAGATGGCTGTCAAATGCGCGAATCGTGCAATACCAAGCATTACTTTGGGGCCCGGGAGATGGCTCAGTGGAATAAGCGCTTCCCTGGCAAGCTCAAGGACCTGAGTTCAATCCCCGGTTCCACCAAAAGAAAAAGTTAGCTCAGTTAAGCCTCACCATGCTCTTTGAGGCAGGTACCTTTACTCCCTTGTTACATGTGAGGGGACTGTGACTCAAAGTTAGGACTTGCCCCAGGCCATACTGTGGATACTGGGGGAAGCCAAGACTTTAAAGCAGGGCCGACTCTAGATGTTAACTCTGGATGCTATTTGGACATCCAGGAGTGCGTGCCCTCCTCCTGCCACCCTCCACAAGTCTCCCAGGAGGCGCACCTAGGCAGGAAGCATGGAGTGGGCCCCTAGCTCTACGAGGGGGCTCCCAGGCTGTGTGCCTAGGTCCGTGTGCGCCGGGATACACACTGCTGGGAGAGGAGCGTGGTCAAATGGCTCGTGGCGCTGGTGGAACAACTCTGCTCTTTTCCTGTCTCTCAGCCTGAGGAAAAGAAAGCCTCAGAACGAGAATACAGCTCCACAGTAGAGCGCTTGCCTAACATTTGCAAGGCCCTGGGTTCTATCCCTAGCCATGCAAAAAAAGAAAAAAAAAATTCAGGCTGGTACTAATAAATCTGTCATTTACTGTTATGTGTCAAGTTGCCTTCTTTCTTTTTTAATGTATTGGTACAGGGTCTCGCAATGCAGCTTAGACAAGGCGTGCCCAGGGCAGCGTAGGGTACTGAGGGTCGAACCCGAGTCCTTGCACCTGCCAGGCAGGCGCTTAGGCCACCGAGCTATCTCCCCAGCCTAGGATGCCTTCAACACCACAGTGCTGGAGATGGAACCCAGGGCTCTACTGCTGAGCTACAGGACTCCCTTTGAACAGAGAAAAACAGTCCCAGGCCTTTCAGACCTTTAGCCAGGGGATTCCAAGCTAGAATTAATATCCTGTTTTGCTTTCATTGTTTTTCTTCTTCTTCTTCTTCTTCTTCTTCTTCTTCTTCTTCTTCTTCTTCTTCTTCTTCTTCTTCTTCTCCTTCTTCTTCCTCCTCCTCCTCCTCCCCCTCCTCCTCCTCTTCTTCCTCTTCCTCCTCTTCCTCTTCTTCCTCTTCCTCCTCTTCCTCTTCCTCTTCTTCCTCCTCCTCTTTCTCTCCTTCTTCCTCCTCCTCCTCTTTCTCTTCTTCCTCTTCTTCCTCCTCTTCCTCTTCCTCCTCTTCCTCTTCCTCTCCTTCTTCTTCCTCCTCCTCCTCCTCTTTCTCTTCTTCCTCTTCTTCCTCCTCTTCCTCTTCCTCTCCTTCTTCTTCCTCCTCCTCCTCTTCCTCTTCCTCTTCTTCCTC